AAAGAAAACAATCAGTAACACTCTACGCCGTCAAGGATTAAAATCCTGCAGTGCACGCAAGGTGCCCTTCCTCAAGCCAACGCATGTCAAAGCCCGTCTGAAGTTTGCAAATGACCATCTGAATGATCCAGAGGAGGAATGGGAGAAGGTCATGTGGTCTGATGAGACAAAAATAGAACTTTTTGGTTTAAACTCCACTCGTCATGTTTGGAGGAAGAAGAATGAAGAGTACAACCCCAAGAACACCATCCCAACCGTGAAGCATGGCGGTGGAAACATCATTCTTTGGGGATGCTTTTCTGCAAAGGGGACAGGACGACTGCACCATATTGTGGGAAGGATGGATGGGGCCATGTATCGTGAGATTTTGGCCAACAACCTCCTTCCCTCAGTAAGAGCACTGAAGATGGGTCGTGGCTGGGTCTTCCAGCATGATAACGACCCAAAACACACAGCCAGGGCAACTAAAGAGTGGCTCCGTAGGAAACATCTTAAGGTCCTGGAGTGGCCTAGCCAGTCTCCAGACCTGAATCCCATAGAAAATCTTTGGAGGGAGCTTAAAGTCCGTGTGGCCCAGCGACAGCCCCGAAACCTGAAGGCTCTGGAGGAGATCTGTATGGAGGAGTGGGCCAAAATCCCGGCTGCAGTGTGTGCAAACCTGGTCAAGAACTACAGGAAACGTCTGATCTCTGTAATTGCAAACAAAGGTTTCTGTACCAAATATTAAGTTTCATTTTTCTGGTGTATAAAATACTTATTTCACACAATAAAATGGAAATTAATTATTTAAAAATCATACATTGTATTTTTCTGGATTTTTGTTTTAGATTCCATCACTCACAGTTGAAGAGTACCTATGATAAAAAATACAGTCATCTACAAGCTTTGCAAGTGGGAAAACATGAAAAATCAACAGTCTATCAAATACTTGTTCTCCCCACTGTAGCTCCTTCACATAGTGGGTCAACCAGTTTGATGGTGCTCAGACGGTATACAGTAGTCCCTCAGTTACGTTCCAGACACTGTTGTGATGGGTGAAAAACCATGAAGTAGGAACGTTATATTTATTTTAGTATTCATATATAAATAAATATATATATATATATGTGTGTATATAAATATATATATATATATATATATATATATAAAAACTCCAGTAGAACTCGAATACTTGATGACATCATAGGATCTAAAGATACAAAAAAAAAATAAATAAAATAAATAAAACCGCAAAAAAGGTCATTATTTACAAAAAAAAAGATCAACAAAACATTGGGAGTGTATTTTATGCTCCTACCATTTATCATACTGCAAATAAGTCACAGGAAAAACTAAACTATTAGTTTTTATTATTAAACTGCAAAAGTGAAGAAACGTGGCACGTCAAAAACAAAACTAAAACCAGTGGGGGGTCGACCACCCCGCACCACCACCAGCTGTGGTGTGCATTAGTTTTAGTTTTAGAGATTAATATGTTTATAGATTTTTTATAGGTTTAGAGATTAATATTTTTTGCTTTTTGTCTGTGAAACAAGGTCAGAGGAAGCTGGTTCTGGTTCGGTCACTGGACCCGGTGTTGCACCATATTCTGTGACCTGCAACAGTGCATGTAACACCGCCCCCTACGGTCACAATATACGGTGGTCACAGAATATGGTGCAACACCGGTTCACAACGAGCTCCAAACAGTCAGGAAGTTGATTCATTTTCTGTTTCCTTACGGTAGTTGAACCGGAAGATTCATCTTTAGTGAAATATTTTCAGACTATTGATACATTTCTACCTGTTTATCAAGACTGGGCCTGCTCCGCTCCATCCGTCTGCTTGGAGGAATCCATTTTGTAGCCCGCGCCCGGTGCGGATCACGTGACGCGATGACGTAACGGCAGCGTAATGACATCACCACGAATACTCGACGTGAAATTAAAAACCTCGGTTGGTGTCCTAGGAATCGATGTGTATACTACTCGAGTAGTCTGTTAAAGCACTAATATATATATATATATATATCCACCAGGAGAATGATGATGTCAGACCAACTGAATACTGAACTGATTATTTTATTGCTTCCCACAACAATAAAAAAAACAACCTATTTACAAATGTAGAAAAATAAAATACAAGCAAAAATTAAAGAGAGCTCTTTTTTTATGAAAAAAATAAACAAGTTCAGTTCTTGAGCAATGTTGCTACCCTGGGCAGTGTTGTGTATGGATTCTTATCTGTATCATGATCAAAGAATCCAGAGTCACTATAAAACCAATCGGGATTTCCACTGATATTATCCAACAAGCGTCACCTCGATCTCTCACTGGGATTTACAGATATTTCTCAATGAGTGGTCTCTGCTGTCACTCATAGACAGGTTGTAAGGCCCACAGTTTGGTCGGTCAGTGCACATGTAAATAGCATGCCTCAGAGTATAAGGAAGAATGACCAAACCACGTTGGTTAAATTCAACTCGGCAAAAACTGAGCGCCCTCTGCTGGACCCTCCCAGTATTACAACCTAAATTATAGATATGGGCTTAGTAACCCAATGTTTAATGTGGGTTATATATAT